ACTTCTTAGTATGATTTTATTGTTTTCTCCATAAAGTTCTTATATAGTTTTGATTCTTTTTTTGTCCTTAGTATGTTTATTTTTCCTTTTTTTTTTTTTGGTTTTGGTTTTGAACTCAAGGCCTAGGCTCTGTCCCCAAGCTTTTTGCTCAAGGTTAGCACACTACCACTTGAACCACAGATGCATTTCCAGCTTTTGGAGGGTTAGTTGGAGATACGAGTCTCATGGGCTTCCCTGATCCAGCTGGCTTCAAACCATAATCCTTAGATCTCAGCCTCCTGAGTAAGTTAGGGTTACAAGTGCTAAGCCAGAAGTGCCCAACATAAATATAGTTGTATTTTTTTAATATTGGTATGAATTGTATTTTCTAATTAATAGGACTTTTAATAATCCTAGTAGTTTGTCATTTGATTCTCAATTTTTTTGTAGATGATCATATCATCTACAATTTTTTTGTTTTCATTTTTCTTATTTTACTCTTTCTAGAATAATATTGAATAAATGATGGCCTCAAGCATCTTGTCTGAATCCTCACTTTGTTCAAACTGTTTCTGATTTTATCCTTAGACCTACGAATGCCTACCATAGATTCTAATATTAGTAATGGTAGCACCAATAGCAGGGGCTTCATTAGTACAGAAGCTGTTACCTTTCACTCAGTGAAGCAGACAGATGCTGAACACTTTATGTGTGTTACTTTGTTCATCTTCCAAGCATTCCTTAATGGTGGGTATGTAGCTGGTGATTGTGGACCCAGTTTTAGAAATAAGGAAAATGAAAGAGAGGGATACTAAATAAGATGAAGGCTGAGATTGGAACAATAGGCAGTTTTGTTACACAGAATCAGACTCTTCTATCAACATAAGGGTAGCCTCTTTTTAGTCTCAATTTTCTGATATTTTGATGTTACTTTTAAGTTAGCAGATGCTTTTTAAGTACCTATTGAGATGACAATGTTTGTTTCCTTTAATTTATTACTATAATGAATAACACTACTATATTTTCTCATTTTTAATACAGTAGTCACCTTTCTGCTCTAGGGTTGCATCCCAATGTATTTGAAGAGTGTATGAAACTAAATTCTGTCTAAATCTATCATACTAAACATTTTTTCTTCTACATATATGTACCCAAAATAAAGTTGTACTACATAAATTCAGCACAGTAAGAGATAACAAGTAGTAATAAAGCATAGGAATTACAACAATACTGTGCTAAAAGTTACATAAGACTTATGAATTGTTATTTCAGGAGTTTTTCATTTAATATTTCAGACCATGGTTAGCTACTAGTAACTGAAACCCATGGAAAGCAAGACTATGGATGGGGGAGGATTATTATATGCTTGTATTTTTAGGTTAAATTCACTTGTTATTGTTCCCTTCTTGGTTTTGTTTTAAACCCATTTAGGCCTCATCCCACAAATATTTGTAATGGTTGGCAGTATTTTGTTATGTAATTCTTACTGAATTTGGTATCCAAATGTCTGTGTAACCGGCCTGTTTAGCCAGGATGAAGTAACAAAGCTTGCCTAAAACAACAACCCCCCCCCCAAATATATATATAATATATAAAATGATAATGATCAGATATTAGTGATGAAAGATGATGATATTGAGAGGTGAACCAGAGGGATAAGCTTTAATGATTGCCCTGGCCTACTGCCAGTCTGTTCTTACAAGCCAGAATAGAAAACATCTTGATTAATCAGGTGCAAGAAGGAGTAGTAGATAATGTAATATTGTTTTTTAGTTGTGTGTTGTATTTTGGCAAAAACTAAACCAACAACTCCAAGAAGCTCCATAAATTCCAAACATAATAAACACAACAAAACTATACTAAGGGGCATCATAATCAAATTGCTTAGTTGCTCAATCACATTGATAAAAAGGAATCTAATATCCAACCTGAGGAGAAAAAGCTTACATGCAAAGAAATAAAAGGATGAGAGCCAATTTTTTAAAGTGCATTCAAACATTGATTTCAAGACTTAAAAGCTACAGTTGTCATGGCAGAGTGTGGTTGCATAATGGTAAGCAAATAGATCAATGGAAGAAACAGTGAGAGTCAGCAAACTGCAGCCCACAGGTGAGACACCCCCCCCCTTACCTCCTGTTTAAATCAAGTGTTATTAGAGCACAGTCACATCATTTGTTAATGTATTATCTGGGGCAGGCAGCTTTTGTGCCAACAGTAGAATGGTGTTTCTACCAGAGGCCTTATGGCTAACAAAGTCTGAAATAATTACCTTCTAGTCCTTTACATAAAAAAATTCCTCACTCCTGGAATTGAAAATTCATGAATAAACTTACCACTATCTGTGAACAACTGATCTTTCACAAAGTACAGAGAGAGCTTGGGAAGAAATAGTATCTCCAACAAATGATCCTGAACCGATGGACTGTTCAAATGTACTTTATGAACTTATATATCCATATTAACTCAAAATAATTTAGAGATCTAAATATAAAACCACAGACTTATGAAAGAAAACACAGGACAAAGTCTTTATGACTTTAGGCCAAGATTTCTTAGGTATAACACCAGAAGCACTATCTGATACTTTATTAAGATGAAACCTTCTGATCTTCAAAAAACAATTTTAAGAAAATGAAAAGACAAGCCAGAGATTGGGAGAAAATTATGAACAGGTCAGTTTTCTGATACAGGTATTATATCCAGAATGCATTTTTAAAACTCAAAACCTGATGAAAAGTCAAGGAGCCCAGTTAAAAGTGAACAAAATATTTGAATGGGCACCTCACCTAAGGAGATACATAGCTAAACATAACACCAGACAAATGCCCTGTGCATTCCATCTGTAGGTATTTACCTGAAAGAAATGAAAGCACATATCCAAAGACTCAACAGTAGTTAAATTGCATTACATTTATTCACTGATACATTCTGTATCAATTCAAGAAGAAAGTATTTTTTCACCTAGCAAATATAGCAAGTGCCTTCTGTGCTGTATGATTCTAATTTTAGGAATATATCAGAGAACAAAACAGATAAAAGCTCTGCCTCATTTGCTCCTATAGCAAACTACAACCTGGGTGGCTTAAAACATAACTATTCTGTCAAGATTGCAAAGATTAAAGTCCTTCTAAGACTTCAAAGAATCTTCCTGTACCCAATCTCCCTCTTCCTAGCTTCAGAAAGTAACAGCAGTCCTTCACATGTGTTAGCCTGCAGCTGCACTCTAATCTCTGCCTTTGTCACACGTTGTCCTTCTGTGAGTTTTTCTCTTACAAAGACTCCAGTCACGTTGTATTAAGGGCCCGCCCTATGCCAGTATGACATCTTTGCGCATTGCACCAGCAATGGTTCTGTTTTCAAATAGCACATTTCTGAGCACATTTAGGGTTAGGATTGAAAATGTATCTTTCTCAGTGTTGGAGACAATTCAAGCTATGGCAAAGGAAAGAAAAGTAAGTCATTTATGTGGTGGTTTTTGTTTGTTTGTTTGTTTGTAGAATTGGCATTGACAACTGTGGCCTGCAGACCAAATCCAGGTTGCAGTCACAGTAGTTACATTGGAACACAGTCATAGTGATTTGTTTGCATGTTTTCTGTGCTTGCTTTTGCACTCCAGTAGCACATTTGACTAGTTTCAGCAGAAACCTGAAGGCCCACAAAGCCTAAAGTATTTATCTTGTCCTTTATATTAAATATTAGAATGTCTTAAATGGAGGATGATTTAGGAAGTAGGGACAGAATAAACAATATGAAGGGTTGTTGTAGGGAGATCTGTATAGGAAGGGAAATTTGAGCAAAGATTATAAGGAATTAATTTATATATAAATGTTTAATATGTAATGTTCATTTGGAAAAAAGCAAGTTTACAGGACATTTCTCACTTGTGTAATCCCATCTTTGTAAAGGAGGAAGGTATATTAAACACTAAAATTATAGATGTGGGAAAAATTTGCAAGACTAGTTATTTTTTTGTGGGAGGAGTCCAGGTGGGATTATAGCAAGTGTTTGGGGGGGAGGGGGTGTGCTGGTCCTGGGGCTTGAACTCAGTGCCTGGGCACTGTCCCTGAGTTTGGAAACCCTAGAGTCCTGTGGGGACTATGAGTGGATGCAGGAAGTATGAATGCATGGAAAACCTGAGCTGTTTTTGCTCAAGGTAGCACTTTATCACTTGAGCCACAGCTCCACTTCTGGCTTTTGGGTGGTTAATTGGAGATAAGAGTTTCACAGACTTTCCTGCCTGGGGTGGCTTCAAACCATAATCCTCAGATCTCAAGTCTCCTGAATAGCTAGGGTAACTGGTATGAGCCACTAGCACTGGGCTTTATAGGAACTTTTTACATGACTTTTTTTTTTACTTTTTATTTGTCATTTAAAAATAATGTTATTAAATTTAATTCCTTGTTAATTATATCAAAAGCTCAATGTGTCTGAAATGATAATGAAGAATGAAGTGCTTTGCCTAAGTTTTAAGTTATTACAAAAAGGAGTGGCCACTACTCATGCAAGAATTTGCTAGTTACTGAGCAAATCTTAAAGTGAATTTTTATTTCTCTGCTTAACATAAGTTCATCAGTTGAAGAGTCAACATTGTTACCATATTGCTAGCAGAAGACAGAAGATCTGGTTCTCTTAACTGTTGTATTTGTCAAATTCAACATGTTTGGTCGAACTCATGTTTCTGTGAACTTTGTAAACATCAAAGAGGTTTGAATTCGGTGTGGGTGACCTTAAGGTTTGCAAGTTTATCAAAGCATAGCACTAGTGCATCCTGGCCTCAGCTACTCAGTAGGGGAAGGCAGGAAGATTTCTTGAGCCTGCTAGTGTGTGGCCAGCCGCAGGCAACATAGCAAGTCCCTGACTCGAGAAAAAACAACACAATAGGCTCTTTATCTGAAGCTCAAAGATCTCTAAAATGGGATTCTCTGAACACACTTTAAAGCCTAAAATCAGTTAACGTGACAGAAGTATAATAAATATTGTCAGTGTCAGCTTTCTGAACGAGGCTCTTTCTGACTTTACAGCAAGATCCAATAGAGAAAAAAACCATGACATTTGGAGGCAGAAGTTTTGTTTTAAATCCTTGCCTTTTCACCGGCTAATTTTGTGAGTTGGGTAAGTAGTTTGCCTTATCTGAATTTTGTTTTCCTTTGTAAAAATCCACTAAGTAATCCCTATTCTCCATCCTTCCCTCTTTTCCCTGTACTAGAGTTTGAACTCAGGTCTTCACACTTGCTAGGCAAGTACTCTCTCACTTCAGCCAGGCCTTCCTTCAGCCCTCTTTTTAATTTTAAGTGCTTTTTCAAATTGTGTCCTAATTTAAGCTTCCCACATTGCTGGATATAGATGTATTCCATTGCACCCAGATTTTTGTTGTGTGTATATAAGAAAAATATAAAATATTAAAATATTACCCGTGTCTGTTTCAGAAATAATTGTACAAGATGTTGAAGTTGCAGTTCTGGCTAGTGCAAGCTTTGGTTATTTTCCTCACTGCTGAATCTTTAGGTAAGATTCATGATATGTCCTGATTTCTAAGTATATGATTAGGCTGCTATATTTTTATATACTTATATCAGTAAGCTTATATTTAATAATTATTTAATAATTAATTAATAATAATTAATCAATAATTATGCTATCACGTTTATTCTTTCTAGGATTATTAATGAGAGAATGTATTACAATTATTTTAGTAAGTAAAGTTTATGAAGATTGTTTTATATAATTTGAGTTCAAGTTCTTGGTCATTCAGCAATACTAAGGGCTGATTAGTTATATTAGAATAACTTTAAGATGGGGGCAAAAAGTGTTGGGGCTTTTTGCTTTTATTTTCTTCTTATTATCTTTGCCATTTATCAAAGCAGTTTATGAATATATAATGAGACTAAGACAAGAGATTTGTTCATACTTCACTCATTAATTGCCCACAGTACTACTGAGCACTGAGCAATGTGGTTTCATTGTCAGAATAAAGAGACACCTTGAAGGAACACTATTAAAGCACTCATCCTGAGCTTGATGCTCAGCTGAGATCTTGTCGTTACTGATCCAAAATGAGATACATGCAAAAAGTAACAATGCATATTTAGAAACTCTTTAACAGATGGATATAGCTATGACATATAGGCACGTACATAGTGGAGTTACAGATCAATCATGTAAGCCTGTGACAATTTAGAAGAAAAAACTTGATGTTTCATCACAGGCAAATACTCTATCACTGAGCTATAGCCAACCTTCCTTACTCATGAAGATAAATTTCCTTCTTATAATTTTTTCCCCATTAATTCTAATTCTAGAGTAGTCCTAATTTCCTTCTTTCTTACGACTTCTTCGAGTACTCAAGGACTTCTTTCCTTGTTTCTAGGCTCTTCCCCAAACTAAAGTTACCTTAATCATTCTGTATATGATGGGTTTCCCCTCCTATGCAAGCTCACTGCCCTTAGGATTCTTCTCTTGATTGTCTGTATTATATTTAAAAATATAATGCCATCCCAGTGCTCCCTCTTAACAACTGAAGGACTTTGGCTAGTCATAATTTGTGTCACAGTTTTGTATCTATAAATGTGGCTCATCATGGTCTATACTGATAGGTGTTGTTGTGAAGAATGAATAAATACGGAGAGTTATTGCAGTTTACCATTAAAATCATTGACTTTTTAAACAAATGTATCAGAGCTAGATGTGGTCAGAGTATAGCAGTTCCATTATTTACTTAGATATGAATATTATTTATACAGAGTAACATAGTTTCCTGGCAGCTAAGATATAGCATAGTTTCAACTCTTATTTTATTTGGGTCAGGACAGGCAGACAGCGAGACATAGCCAGACTGACTTTACTCAACAATTCTTGGGGCCTCAGCTAGTATATTCAAAGAGTGCTGAGGCCTCTATGGGCCCTTTCACTTGTATGCCTAATGTTAGTGGCTAGCAGATGAGGGTTTTGCCAGGAGCCACTGGCCAGAGCAACATACATAGCCTTTTCGTGTGGTCTTTACATTTGGCTGGATTGCAAGGCAAATATTCCAAGAGAAATGGAGCTTTTCCTTCTTAGTATTCTAGTCTTGGAAGGCATAATAGCACACTGTCAGCTGAGACACCCAAATATACTTGTGTTTTGTTTTGTTTTGTTTTGTCCCATTCTTATTCTTTGACCATGTTAACTTGCAGTGTGTATTTCCTTCTTGCTTTAGGAAATATTTTAGTGAAGGCTGAGTGACTGTGCAGTGAATGCCGCCAGCCAGGTATCATTCTGTACCAGGACAGCCAGGCTTTTTGTTTGTTTGTTTGCTTGCTTTTGCTTTTACAGTGCTGGGGATTAAACTGGGATCTCAGGCACACCAGTAAGCACCTTGCCATGAGCTATAATAATACCCTTAGCCCCATCTACTACTACATTTTCGAAACTGTTGTTCTTTTTCAGGTGAACTTCTGGAGCCATGTGGTTATATCAGCCCTGAGTCTCCAGTTGTACAACGTGGTTCAAATTTCACTGCAGTTTGTGTGCTGAAAGAAAAGTGTATGGACTATTTTCATGTAAATGCTAGTTATATTGTCTGGAAAACAAACCATCTTGCTGTTCCTAAAGAACAATATGCCATTGTAAACAGAACAGCATCTAGCGTCACCTTTACAAATGTGGGTTCACTGAACGTTCAGCTTACGTGCAACATTCTTACCTACGGACAGATTGAGCAGAATGTCTATGGAATCAACATCCTTTCAGGCTGTAAGTTTTGTCTTATTTCAGACTTCGTCAGATCTCTTGATCTGTACTTGTGTGTGTGTGTGTCTGTCCTACAGCTTGAACTGAGTGCTGTCCCTGAGCTTTTTTTGCTCAAGGTTAGCACTCTACCACTTGAACCATAGCTCTACTTGTGGTGGAGATAACAGTCCAACCTACTTTCCTTCATTGGCTGGCTTTGAATTGAAATCCTCAGATCTCAGCCTCCTGAGTATCTAGGATTACACTCGTGAGCTACCAGCACCAGACTTGAACTCTATTTTTAATGTTCTCTATTGGACTTTATAAAATGCAGTAAATTTTATGGACTCTGTAACTTTTAGACTTAGTTTTAAAAAAATTAAACTTGGGTATAGGACTTACATTTATATTATTAAAATACAAAAATCCTAAAGAAACCTAAAGGTTTCATTTGTCAGTTCTCTAAAAAAAAAAAAAGTAAGTTTTGTCATGAGACTTCCTTGCAAAAGAGTATAGTTGATTTGGAACCTGTGCGTATCATGATAACGTTGTCTCCTAGTTAAGAGATTGCATGTGTAGAGCTGCTACCTATAAAAGAGGAATAAATATCAGAGGAAATCTCCTCCTAGGTCAAAGGAAAGAATGTAGACTGTCATCCAAATTTATGGACCACCCAGGTTTCATAATCTCAGGATTTGTTTTGCTTCCTGTAGAGTGTGGGAAAGCAGTATGAGCAAAAACATAAATCATTTTTAGTTCTATGTAATTGCCTCTAATGAACATATGTAAATATCAGTTTATTTGCTCTTTTTTTTTTTTTTTTGGTCGGTCATGGGACCTGAACTCTAGGCCTGGGTGCTGTCCCTCAGCTCTTCAGCTTGAGGCTGGCACTCTACCACTTGAGCCACTTCCAGCTTTTTCTGCTTATGTGGTGCTGAGGAATCGATCCCAGGGTCTCATGCATGCAAGGCAAGCATTCTACCACTGAGCCACCTTGCCAACCCTCTTTTATTTTTTATGACTGTCCTAGGGCTTGAACTCAGGGCCTCTCCTTGCTTGGCTTTTTCACTCACAGTTGGTGCTCTACCACTTGAGCCACATCTACAGTCCAGCATTTTTGCTATTTAATTGGAGATAGAGTCCCTCAGATTTTTCTGCTTGGGCTGGCTTCAAACCTCAATCGTCAGATCTCAATCCCCTGAGTAGCTAGAATTTCAAGCATGATGCAAGTTCATAAATACCAGTTTGTAAAATGTACATAATAGAGAAATCACTGATATTTTTATCCACTTACAAATTTATGTACAAAATTAACGTGAAACAAACTAAATAAGTCACAATTTAAAAAAAAGTTAAAGAGTTTGAAGAGAAACAAATTAACTTTGTAATCACTAGACGTTCATGATATTCATTTTATGTCTTGGGGTTGTTTTTTAAATCTTAAGTATTTTGATGTCTATGCGTGGTTGTAAAGCTTCTTGAGAATAGCTTATTATTTTCTTTTTAGTTCCTCCAGAAAAACCTAAAAACCTGAATTGCATTGTGAATGGGGCTAAGAGTATGATGTGTCAGTGGGATCCTGGAAGGGAGACATACTTGGAAACAAACTTCACTTTGAAATCCGAATGGTGAGTTACTGTGTTTTATGTGTTGGGCTTAGTAAATGAACCATTTCTGCTGCAACTGTTATCAAATAATAGTATTGAATGAAACATTTAAAAAATCTTTGTTTTATTCTGGAACATCTAACATATATAAAAGTAAAAAGAATTATATACCTAGGCATCAGTGGCTCACTCCTAAGCTACACAAGAGGCTAAGATCTCAGGATCACCATTTGAAACCAGCCCAAGCAGGAAAGTTTGTAAAACTCTTTTCTGCAATTAACCACCAAGAAACCACAAGTGGAGCTGTGGCTCAAATGGTATAGCACTAGTCTTGAGGAAAAAAAACAAAACAAAACTCAGGGATAGCTCCCAAGACTGACACATCAAAAAAGAAAAAGAAAAAGAAAAATTATATAATGAGTCTCCATAAGTACCCATCATCTAGCTCAATCAGCAGTGATCAAGTATGTATAAAATAATGATAATGTACTTATATGTACTGTATCCCATATTGTCTTAAAGAAAACTAGATATATTCTATCCATAAATATTTTTAAAACTTTCTTTTGTGTGTGCTAGACCTGGGGCTTGAACTTGAACAGAGCCTGGGCACTGTCCCTGAGCTTCTTGACTCCATGCTGGCACACTCTACTACTTGAACCACAGCTCCACTTCCTGCTTTTTTGATACTTAATTAGAGATAAGAGTCTCATGGACTTTTAGCCCAGGCTGGCTTTGAACCTCAGTCCTCATATCTCAGCCACCTGAGACTTATATTCATATTATTACAATGCAAAATGTGAGCCGCCTCCAGTGCCGGGCTCTATAAATATTGTGAGCCGCCTCCAGTGCCGGGCTCTATAAATATTATATACCTCTAAATAATTTTAAGTTCTTTAATATCATCTGATTTGTAGTGGTTGTTAACTTTCCCATTTGTCCCATAGAATACATGTTTTTTGCTTTTGTTTATATTGAATCAAAATAAACTGTATACACTGAAAATAAGTGTAATAGTTAATTAAGTAGTAGTTCTGCCAGATTCTCACTCTTCTTTTTGCTTGTAATTCAGTTAACTATTGTACATTGGTTAATATGTGCTCTTGTTCTTTTACTCCCTAAAAGTTACTGTTAAGTCTTTAGATTTGATCACATTTGGGCTTAATATTTTTCATATATTTCATAAGAGGTGTATAGTTCCATTAGGAACACTAAATTACTGGTTTTCTTTTCTTTTTCTAATATTAATATTGAACAGTGATTTCAGGTGTTGTTAAACCATATTCATTCTCTATAAAGTTCCCTGTTTGTTTTTCTCAAACACAAAAAAACTGAAAGAAGTTCACATACCCATCACCTACATTCTAAATTGACATTTTTCTGTATTTGCTGTATCACATACCAGTTTAGGTCTGCATGCAGCTTTCCACATCTATTCATACTCTTCTAATGCAATTCAGAATAGTTGTAGGCATTAGTATATTTTACCCCTAAGCACTTTAAGTATTTGCATGATTAATAGTAGTCAATATTAATTTGTAAGTGTGATTTTATTTCAGCTAAAATGTATTTAATGAAAATGCAGATTGTAAGTGTATCTCTCATTTAGTGATTTATTTTGACAAGTACATACATCTATAACTCAAACCTGAGCTTTGGAACATTACTGATATTCCCATAAGTTGTCATGTGTCTCCTCAATCAGTCCCAGCCATCATCCCAACCTAAGAGACAACTAATTATCTGATTTTCTTCTCTTTATATTATTTTTGAGTGTTACAGAATGTGATAATGTAATTATACAGTATTTATTCTTCTGTGGAAGATTATAATGAGTTATCACAGTGCTTCTAAGTGAATCCTATTGCTTTCCATTTGCTTTCCTCCTAAAGATTTGAGCAGTCAACAGTAATCATTATTGATAGGTGTATCTCAAAATTATGGGGATTTTTGTTTTTCTTCTTCTTTTGTTTTCTTAGCTGAAAAATTTCCCTTCAACAACAATAGGCTACCCTAAGGGACTTCAGATAAGAAAGTCAAAACAGTATTAATGTTTTCCTTTATTACCATTTTTATGATGATTTCCTATCAGCCTCAGAAGGTAAATAATGTGGGATCTTTCTCCCCCATTAAAAATTCATAAACAGGACTAGGAAGGTGGCTCAGTGGTAGAGTGCTTGTCTGGCATGCATGAGGCCCTGGCTTGAATTCCTCAGCACCACATAGCAGAAAAAGCCGGAAGTGGTGTTATGACTCAAGTGATAGAGCCTTGAGCTGAAGAGCTAAGGGATAGCGCCCAGGCCCAGAGTTCAGGCCCATGACTGACAAAAAATAATAATCACAATAATAATTCATAAACATATTTGGTAAGTTTCAATATATTATGGTTGTTATTATTTTATTTTTTGTTGTTGTTGCTAGTACTGGAGCTTGACTTCAGGGCCTCAAACTCTTGCTGGGCTATTTTTCATTTACTGCTGGTATTCTACCACTTGAGCTATGCATCCAGTTCTGGCTTTTTGGTGATTAATTGGAAATAAGAATCTCTCAGATTTGTCTGCCTGGGCTGGCTTCAAACCTCAGTCCTTAAATCTCAGTCTCCTGAGTAGCTAGGATTATAGATATGAGTCACCATGCCTGTCATAACTATTATTCTTACTGATGGTTCTGTTGTCCTCTCTTTGGTCATGGACTTACTCAGATTGGATCATATATTCTTTTCATACAACTTTATTAGGCTTTGATGGCTTCCTGGATTTTTAATATGACATAATTTTCCAGGTTTATGTTGTGTATTTCTCACTCAGGCCTGAACTTCGCCATTTGCCAAGGACCACTGGTTCCAAAAAAGTATGAAATACTAAAGACTTATTTAATCTAGGCTTTTTTCATGGAAAAGGCTAGAAAATATGTGTTGTTTAAGATAAGTACATCATAAAAAGTTGTACATCTATCTACATCTCTGTCCTTCTGTACTGAAGATTCTATTTCCTGACAACACTAATTACTCATTTATTATATCTCTTAATAAAGATAATTGCAGACTTATAATTCTTGTTAGCATCAGCAATATGATTACTAAGATGATTTTTCTTTTTTTTTCTTTTTTTGGGGGGGGGGGGGTCTGGTCGTGAGGCCTGTACTCTGGGCCTGGGCTCTGTCCCTCAGCTCTTCAGCGCAAGGCTAGTGCTCTACCACTTGAGCCACAGCACCACTTCCGGCTTTTTTCTTTTTGCTTATGTGGTGCTGAGGAATCGAACCCAGGGCCTCAGGCATGCAAGGCAAGTGCTCTACCACTGAGCCACCTTCCCAGCCCCCTAAGATGATTTTTCTATTAAAAGATGTCGTATAATTTCTTTCTAAAAATAAGTTTATTTCTATGTCATTGTACCTCAGACTCAATACACAAGTTCCTGTGTTTATTCTTCTTTTTTACAGATTTTTTAAACTATGTAAGATAAATTATCCAAAAATGTCAAATCTTTGAAATCAAGTATATTCAAAGAGTCTAGGTTCATCTTTATCTCTTTTGCTTTATTTCCTTCTTTCCCCTAGATATTATCTATTTTTTCTTTCTAGTTTTCTTTATCTCTTTATTTATTTTTTATTTTTTTATTTTTATTTTTGTTTTGTTTTGGGTCCAGTCGTGGGGCCTGAACTCTGGGCCTGGGTACTGTCTCTTAGCTCTTCAGCTCAAGGCTTAAGCTTTACCACTTGAGCCACAGTGCCACTTCCAGCTTTTTTCTTTTTGCTTATGTGGTGTTGAAGAATCGAACCCAGGGCCTCATGCATGCAAGGCAAGCACTTTACCACTGAGCCACCTTCCCAGCCCTTATCTCTTTATTTTTAAAAATAATGTTTTATGTAAATGTTTTAAGTTGAGGCATAATTTATACAGAGGTGAATAATATTTTACTTGAACTTTCTCTGGTGATAGAAATCAGAAAGTGGTTAACTGGGTTTGACCAAGGATATATTTTCTGGCTTGATTAAAAACCCTTACCCCTAATCTCCCATCTTCTTAGCATACTGTGTTTAGAGAAAGGCAGTGGTGGTATAGGAAGAATTCTATTTCAAGGAGGAGAAAAAATAGTATAGTAAGTACTTTCTGTGAGTATAGTCTGAAATATTAATTGGGCAATTCCAGAAATAAACAACTTATTAGTTTTAAATTACACATTGTTCTAAGTAGCTTGATGAAGACTTACACCATCATCTCTGCCTACCTAGGGCTCTTTTCCCAGCATATCCATACTTTAGAGAGCTACTTCCCTGTCAGGGACTGAGTAGCCATCTTTGCTTCCAAGTTGGCTGTGGGTAAAATCAGTACCTGTGTGAAGAAACACAAGCTAGAAATGTACACTGTTCTTCCAAGTTTCCTTTAAGTGAAAAGGTGAAATCTTTAATTACTACAGGAAGAAGAAAGTACATGCAGTGGTTGCTACAATCTACACTAAGAGCCAGTTTTCTATTCATGAAATTATGAAAAGAAAAAGAAGGCTGAGTGCCAGTGTCTCACGGGGAGGGTAAGATCTGAGGGTGGTGATTTGGATCAGCCCAGGCAGACAAATCTACAAGACTCTTAATTCCAATTAAGCAGCAGAAAGTGAACTGGAGGGGTGGCTCCAGTGAGAGAGCAAAACCGAGCAAAAGTTTGAGGTTCTGAGTTCACGCCCCTCTACAGTACGAAAAGAAAAGAGAACAAAAGATCAGTTGTGCTCATTTTGCTTTTGTACACCAAACTCCAAAAGTGACAGCTTCAGTGTTGTAAATACTTAGTTAAGATTTTTTTTTAATTTAATTTTATTTGTGAACATACTGTACAGAGGGGTTACAATTACATGGGCAGGATAATGCGTACATTTCTTACCAAGCATTGCAGCCTCCTCCTTTGTTTACCCTTCAGCTCCCTTCCCAGCCTCCCCTCTCCCCCCCCAATCCCAATCCTTCTCCTTCCCCCGCCTTCTCCCCCTCTCCCCCCCCCCCCCCCCCCCCCCGCACCGACGTTGTAAAGCTCGTTTTGGACATGACAACTTGTACTTCTCATTGTTGCAACAGGTCCACCTGTATCCTTAAACAACTGGTTTTTCCCCATCTCCTCCACAAGTTATACTGACATCAAATATAGTGAAAGCAGGGGTTATACTGTGGGGGAGGGACATACAAAGCAACAAAGAGATAATCTTATAAATGTGTTAGAAACACATGCATGAAAGAAAAAAACATTAAAATACACATCTAAGGGTTCATTTTCCTGACATCACATTATCTGACCTTTTCCGCTAAATACTTAGTTAAGATTTTAAACAGGCATTAAACCTGCAGAATGATATAAACAGAAAATGTTTCAAGTGATGGCACCATGTTACATCATGTTGTTCCCAGAACATGTGTTTTTTTTGGGGGGGAGTCCGGTCATGGGCCTGAACTCTGGGCCTGGGCGCTGTCCCTCAGCTCTTCAGCTCAAGGCTAGCACTACCACTTGAGCCACAGCGCCACTTCCAGCTTTTTTCTTTTTGCTTATGTGGTGCTGAGGAATCGAACCCAGGACCTCATGCATGCAAGGCAAACGCTCTACCACTGAGCCACCTTCCCAGCCCCCAGAACATGTTTCTTATAGGTCCAGAAAGCATTGAGACTACCAAAAGACTTCAGCAAGGGACACCAAACCGTTTACTACAAGTACAGATTCAAGAATATATTTAAACTAAAAAATACAAAGATTACCTAAGAGGCCATATTTGCCAAAGAATAAGCTACTGCCACATTTCCAGCTTGAAACTGATTAAAGTGAAGCAATATCATGTGCAAGAAGATACCCAACAGATACTGCATTCATTAAGGTGCAAAACAGGCCCAGGGCATAAGCATGTGACAGACTGACTCTGGTATGTGGCCATCATTCAGGACATAAGATTCAGTCTAGTGATAGTGTACAAGGGGAAGAACCCACAAACTATCTGAAACTTAGTATGTATCTTTCACCCTGTACAAAAACTCCAAATGACCAAAGAACAACTCAAAGTAAGACCTGAAAACTAAATCTAATACATGGATAACTCTGGAAGTTATAGACTGGCATTTATTTTCTGAATAGAGAGTAGAAGCAAGAATTGACAAAAGGACTATATCAAATTAAAGTTTCTGTATAGCAAAAGAAACAGTTATCAGAACTGAGAGACAACCCACAGAATGGAAGAAAATCTTTGCCAGCTATTCAACAGATGAACAATCAATACTCAGAATAACTAAAAAAAATTAGAAAACAGCTTGACGCCGGTGACCACTCACACCTATGATCCTAGCTACTTAGGAGGCTGAGATCTGAGGATTGCAGTTCAAAGCCAACCCAGGCAGGAAAGTCCGTGAGACTCTTATCTCCAATAAACCTCCAGAAAACCAGAAGTAGCACTGTGGTTCAAGGCACTAGCCTTGACCTGAAGAGCTGAGGAATAGAGCCCAGGCCCAGAGTTCAAGCCCCACGACCGACATAAAAAATTAAACAACAGCTGGTGCCAGTGGCTCACACCTGTAATCCTAGCTACTGAGATCTGAGTTTGCAGTTCAAAGCCAGTTGGAGCAGAAAAATCCCCATGAAACTCTTATCTCCAAACCAGAAGTGGTGTTGTGGCTCGTGGTAGAGCACTCGCCTTGAGCACAGAGGGTCATGGACAGTGCCCAGGCCCAGAATTCAAGCTCCACAAAGAAAAAATAAACAGCAAAAGAAAAAATAATCCAATTAATAAATGGGCAGGTGAACTGAACAGACAGTTTTCAAAAGAAAGACAGTTCTAAAAAGAAAGACAAATAACTAATACATGCATGAAGAATGTTAATTGTTTTTAGCTAAAAAGGAAGTGAAAATCAAAAGCAAACTTAAGATTTCATCTCACCCTAATCAGAATGGCAGCCATCAAAAAAAACCCAAATGCTGGCGAGGATGTGGGTATGGGGCACCAACCCACTGTTGGTTGAAATATCAACTATGGCAATCTGATACTACCTTCTGGGATCTGCATCATTTACCTCATTTTAGCTCATCACACAGGCATTACAGTAGCTCACATCACAGAGGGTCAATGTAGGATAGATAATGAACGTATTTTGAGAGACATCACACTCACTTAACTTTATTACAGTATATTGTGGTTCTTCTCAATTGTTTTTGTTGTTGATCTCTTGCTATGCCTAATTAAATTTTTGCCATGGATATGTAGAAGATAAAACATTGTACTTAGAGTTTCAAGCATTGGAGGGCTTGGAATGTAACCTTGTGGAAAAGACAGGACTGTTATGGTAGAATCACAAGGGACAGAGAAGAATCAGTGATAACCAAAATGTACAATTCTTAAGTAGTACTCTCACATTAAAAATTTGAAAATCATTTTGTTTTAAGATAATTCAAACTCAATTTTAAAGAAAGACAGGTTAATTTTTAAGAAATGGTATTTGTCTTTAGCCACAATTTTTGCAGACTAACCTAGAACAAATTGGGTCTCATCAAATTCTTTTCAAAACTTTTCTACTTTAGTATTTGCAAATTTGTTTTTTAATGGTTGTTTTTTCTGTCTTTTTATTTAGGGCAACAAGCCAGTTTGCTGACTGTAGAGCAAAACGTGACACCCCAAACTTTTGCCTTGTTGAATACGTACCTGTGTTTTTTGTCAACCTTGAAGTCTGGGTAGAAGCAGAGAATGCCCTTGGGAAAGTCACATCCGATCATATCAATTTTGATCCTGTAGATAAAGGTAGCTATAAGTCTGAACTAGAGAATTAATTTGTTAAGACAATATAGTGCTTTTTGCAATTACTCGGTCAGCAGTATTAAATATAATTTGGAAAAAGAAAAATGGCCATATTTCACTTATACTAGGCTGTTTTTCCAAATCTTTAAATATCTTTTGGATTTTGTTTAGTTCTCTCTTTTTTTTTTCTTTTTAGTCCCATTAGTAGGGCTTGAACTTAGAGCTTCCAGTTCTCACTTGGCTTTTTCCATTCAAGCCTGATTCTCTACTACTTGAGCTATATCTCTACTTTTGATGGCTTTTGAGATGAGTCTTTTCTACTCAGGCTGGCTTTGACTCACCACCATCAGATCTCAGCCTCCTGAGTAACTATGATTACAGGTGTGAGCTACCAGCACCTGGCTAGTTCTCAAACATTTTATGCTATTGTCATCATAGTATACCTGTTTTATTCTCTTTTTTTCAGTTTTTGACTTAATACAATCATTGTCTAACTCTTAAAAATTAAAAAATATACCAAATAGACCAGGAAACCTTTCCTTTCTATTATATGAGATAGTATAATCATTTTCAGAGAAATTAATTCATTTAATAAGAATGAATAAATATTATAAAACAAAGAAAATTAAGACTGACTTTGTATATGAGATTATTGAGATTTATTTATTCTTCAGTGAAGCCCAGTTCTCCTCGTAATTTATCTGTGAGCAACTCAGAGGAACTGTCTACTATCTTAAAATTAACATGGATCAATCCAAGTATTGAAGATGTTATAAGACTGAAATACAATATTCATTATAAGACCAAAGATGCCTCAACTTGGAGCCAGGTAAATTGAAAGTTACCATTTGTTCAGATAGTCTTTTTCAAACCTTCTAACCTAAAGTCTCACATTTTCTGAATGTAGTGTGCATTTGTTTTTAATCACAAAGTCATTCATTTTATGGACCTTCTAATGAGGGGAATTATGTCCAGGATCTTACTACTTCTGTTCTCCATCCCACTTTTAAAGGGCTCATAATACAATAAAAAAACAACAAAACTAATGACTCATGTTGTTCAGAAAGACTACACATCTGAAGTTTTTCAAAATAATCTTATTTTTATAGAATCTTAATTCATTAGTACAAGAAAAATGTCGATATATTTTTTTCTTTTTTGTCATGGGGCCTGAATTCTGGGCCTGGGCGCTGTCCCTCAGCTCTTCAGCTCAAGGCAAGCACTCTTCCACTTGACCCACAGCGCCACTTCCAGCTTTTTCTGCTTATGTGGTACTGAGGAATCGAACCCAGGGCCTCATATATGGAAGGCAAGCACTCTACCACTGAGCTACCTTCCCAGCCCCCATAATTTTTATAATAATATTGAAATCTCAGAGCAACTGAAAGAACCAGAGTTATTTATGTATGTATTTCCACAAGTTAATGGAAGGGGCAGGCTTGACTGGCAAGAAGAAGGGTTGAAGAGAAGTAAGATAAGCATATTTATTTTGCCTCCTTTGTCTGAATTTAGTTTATTAATCTTATTACATTAAATTGGTTTCTAAAGTCATACACAATTTAGCTTTTTTGGTTTTTTGTTGGTTTATTCTGCATTTGTTTATTTACTCTGCTTTGTTTTCAGATCCCTCCTGAAGATACGGTCTCCACTCGATCTTCATTCACTGTCCAGGACCTTAAGCCCTTCACAGAGTATGTGTTTAGGATTCGCTGTATGAAGGAAGATGGGAAAGGCTATTGGAGTGACTGGAGTGAAGTTGCAAGTGGAATCACATATGAAGACAGTGAGTAACAAAGTGTATGAAGATAAAAGCTAGTCGGATTTGGCCTGAGAATTTCATCTGCTTTTGATAATACACATCTCATACATCTCACTGCTTCTTGTGTGTGTGTGTGTGTGTGTGTGTGTGTGCGCGCGCGTGCGTGTGCGTGTGTGTGTGCGTGTGTGTATGTGTATGTATATGTTGTATATGTATGTGTGTCGGTTGTGGGGCTTGAACTCTGGGCCTGAGTGCTGTCCCTTGGCTCTGCATTTCAAGGCAAGTGCTCTACCACTTGAGCCACAGCGCCACTTCCAGTTTTCTGAGTGGTTTATTGGAGATAAGAGTCTCACAGACTTTCTTGCCTGGGTTGGCTTTGAACTGTGATCCTCAGATCTCAGCTATTCCTTAGTAGCTAAGATTACAGGCATGAGCCACCAGCACCTGGCATCACTGCTTCTTGTTTTGTGATCATTATTTTCAAACCATAGTGTCTTACACTTCCATTTTTAAGGACATCAGGATTTAAAAATAAGGGCTGGGAAGGTGGCTCAGTGGTAGAGTGCTTACCTTGCATGCATGAGGCCCTGGGCTCCATTCCTCAGCACCACATAAGCAGAAAAAGGCAGAAGTGGCACTGTAGCTCAAGTGATAGAGCGCTAGCCTTGAGCTGAAGAGCTGAGGGACAGCGCCCAGGCCAAGTTCAGACCCCATGACCGACCAAAAAGAAAAAAAGATTTAAAAATAAGGTGCATTATTGATAGTATGAATCTGTGTAATATCTAAGTAAATTATACTTTAAATTAAAATATGCCTAAGCCCTCATTATCTGTGTCATCTATTTCATTCATTTTTTTCTAATAGCCTTTTTTCCTGTGCCTGGGAAAGAAATGATTTTGGATTTGGGAGTGATTTCTTTTCCCCATAGACAATATATGTATTGTATAGAATACATACTTTTAATCTATCATAAGATTCACTTCATAAAGCAGCTAACATTACTAATCTAATGTAGCCATCAAGAAATAATCCTGTGGCGTATAGATTTTTCCTTTCTTGTTGAAACTTTTTTCTATCCTAGGCTCACCCTTTAGTCTTAATGGCAGCAGCTATGGTTTGAAAACCTACCTTTCCATATGTCATTTTCAGCTCTGCTAAAACTATAAGTCATGGGTGAGGGCTCACCTTATTGTTCTAGTTATGCAGAAGATAAAGATCAAAGGATTGTAGGTCAAGACCAGCTTGTGCAAGAAGTTCAAGAAACCCACATCTCTTTGGAAAGCAGTATGGAGGTTCCTCAAAAGACTCCACATAGAGCTCCCCTATGACCCAGCAATCCCACTTTTGGGCATTTACCCAAATGATCACAAACAAGACCATACTAAAGCTACCAGCACAACTATGTTTATTGCAGCATTATTTACCATAGCTAAGATATGGAACCAACCCAGATGCCCCTCAGTAGATGAATGGATCAAGAAAATGTGGTATATATACACAATGGAATTCTGTGCCTCCATTAGAAAGAATGACATTGCCCCACTTGTTAGGAAATGGAAAGACTTGGAAAAAATCTATTAAGTGAAGTAAGCCAGGCCCAAAGAAACATAGGTCCCGGGCTGGGAAGGTGGCTCAGTGGTAGAGCGCTTGCCTTGCATGCATGAGGCCCTGGGTTCGATTCCTCAGCACCACATGAGCAAAAAGAAAAAAAAAAGCCGGAAGTGGTGCTGTGGCTCAAGTGGTAGAGCGCTAGCCTTGTGCTGAAGAGCTGAGGGACAGTGCCCAGGCCCAGAGTTCAGGCCCCACAACCGGACCCCAAAAAAAAAAAAAAAAAAAGAAACATAGGTCCCATGGTTTCCCTTATTTGCAATATCTAGTATATGTCTGAGTCAAGCAGAAAAGGTCAGATAAGGTGATGTTAGGGAAATGAACCCTAAGATATGTATTCAATTGTTTTTTTTTTCTTTTTTGCAATTGTTTCTAACACATTTATAAGATTATTTCTTTGTTGCTTTGTATGTCCCTCCCCGACAGTATAACTCCTGCTTTCACTGTATTTAATGTTGGTATAATTTGTGGAGGAGAAGGGAAAAAACAAATCGTTTAAATAGGGATACAGGTGGACCCATTGCAACAATGAGATGTACAAGTCGTTATGTCAAAAACGAACTTTACAACTTTGGTGGGGGGGGAGGGGAGCGGGGAGGATTGAGTGGGGGTCGGGGGGAGGATGGGAAGGGATGAGAAGGGGAAACAAAGGAGGAGGCTACAATGCTTGATAAGAAATGTACTCATTATCTTGCCCATGTAATTGTAACCCCTCTGTACAGTATTTTCACAATAAAAAAAAAAAAGAAACCCACATCTCAACCAATAAGAGCTAGGTATGATAGTGCACATCTGTTATCTTAGCTATTTAGTACATGTAAGTAGGAGGATTGCAGTCTGGGCCAGCCTGGACATAAAAGCAAAAAGGGCTGGGGGGCATGGCTCAAGTGGTAAAACATTTGCCTGCTAAGCACTGAGTTCAAATTCTAGTACTGCCAGAAAAGTCAAAGGAAAGTATTCTGCTTGCTAAGGCTTTTCTCTGTTATGCTCACAGATGACACCAGAGAAAGCAGTCCTGCAGTGGCTGATTTGGAATTCCTAATCCAGATTCCTATGGCTGGTTAGGATTTTTTTTTTTTTTTTTTGTCAGCCATGGAGCTTGAAACTCTGGGCCTGGGCACTGTCCCTCTTCAGCTCAAGGTGAGCGCTCTACCACTTGAGCCACAATGCCACTTGAGCCACAATGCCACTTCTGGTTTTCTGGTGGTTAATTGGAGATAGAGTCTCATGGATTTTCTTGCCTGGACTGGCTTTGAATCTTGATCCCCAGATCTCAGCCTCCTGAGTAGCTAGGATTACAGATGTGAACCACCAGCACCCAGCTAGGATTTTTTTTTTTTCATTTTTTTGAGATAGACTCTTCTTGCTGTTGGCTCAGGGATAATGGCCTGTCTCTGCCTCCATGTACTACTAATTTCATGGTCTTTATTCTATTTGAGTTCTGCATTGTATTCTTTTATACGTCTGTTCATCATCATCTGGAAAACATAGCAAGACCACATCCCAAAAATAATATAAATAAAGTTATTATAAATCATCAGGCTAGCACCCTGACTAAAGGAAGATGCAGTATTTAGATGAAAAATGCTGCTATGAGGAATAATAGTAATTAATAGGCAATGAGAAAGGCAATAAGAATAAAATGAGATAATTAAATTTTTATTTCATTGTTAAGATAGATGCATTTTAAGAATTTTATGTGTTTTCTTTAGGACCATCCAAAGCACCGAGTTTCTGGTTTAAGATAAATTCATCTAAAACTCTTGACTATAGATCTGTACAGCTTATGTGGAAGGTAAATTTTAAAAATCACAAGTTTATATTCTTTAATCTTATGTATTTGATAGTTTATGAATACTTAATGATATTAGGAATGCACATTTTAACATTTAAAGTATTTATCTTAATATTAGCAAAGCATTTGGTAACTCTTCATAAATAGAAACACAAAGTTTTATATAACTTATGAAAGGTATATACCTTAAAAGTATTTCGCCTTATTTGTATAAAAGTATACAATTCCTGTAAAAACCTCTTCTTTGTTCTGTAGTTCACTGAATTTGGTAAGGCATATCATAGAAAATAATAAATGTTTGAGATGATCCATGTGTTGACGCATTAATTTACATATGTGCTTTGAGTAGATCATACTATAGATAAGGAGATTAATGACTTGAGCATGAAGTATGTAGGCCACAGCAGTACTGCAGAATTCTGTGCAGAACTGGTTGCTAACAGTTACCTCTCTTTCTACTTGCCTTGAGGTCATTACTTTTATTGTTTGATCAGTGAGTAGTGTTACTTAAGAACTAAAGTTCAAAATGAGTTTTCTGCCCATTAAATGTTTAGAGATTTTTTTGTAAATGGCAGAATTTGTGAACATGAAAAATTGATTATGCAAGACATTAATTCATGGATGAAAATAAACTATGTTATTCTAGACACTGCCTCCTTTTGAAGCCAATGGGAAAATCTTGGATTATGAAGTGACTCTTACAAAATGGAAATCACGTCTACAAAATTACACAGTTAATGACACAAACTTGACAGTAAACCTCACAAATGATCGCTATATAGCAACTCTAGCAGCAAGAAATCTGGTTGGCAAGTCAGACGCAGCAGTGTTGACCATCCCTGCCCGTGACTTTCAAGGTTTGTGTCTGAGATGGAGCCTGACTTAGGGATGATTGAAAAGTGGTTAGGGTTGGACAATGATCATGGAAAAAACAAATACAGGTAGTCGAAGATGATCACCTCAGAATTTGGGATGATCATATTTTAGATAAGCAGGCAAATTTCATCAGGATGTATAAAATACCTTCATCCTTCATGTGTCACTTAAACTTGATAGTAAGTATTTTGTGGTTACGTAATAGGATTTTTGAAATATTTCAAAGTTTTAAGAGCTTTATATTACATTGTTTCTCTGTACTTTCAAATAAAAAATAGAACTTTGCATATACAAAAGCAAAGAATTAGGAGAAAGCAAGAATTTGTTTAAAAATTAGTTGGCTCCCTTAGAAGTAAGTTAAAATAAGGTGATTTTATTTGTGGAAAACTTGATAAATCACATGTTTGTGACAGCAAAATGAATGATAGCAAAATGCTAGAATTTCAAATTTGTGATCATTCACTTGTATCGGCATCAAACTTTGTTTTAAAGCTTCTCCTCCCGTAAAGGATCTGAAAGCATTCCCCAAAGATAATAAGCTTTGGGTAGAGTGGACGTCTCCAAGTAAATCTGTGAAGAAATACATACTTGAATGGTGCAAGCTGTCAGACACATCGCCCTGTGACCCAGACTGGCAGCAGGAGGAAGGCACTGTACAGAGCACCTATTTAAGAGGTATAGTACACCCGGCTAACATACTGAGTTGATACTTCTTTGCATAACATTGGAAGCCTTCCAATTTACTCTAGCCCCACAAATTGTAGATGGCTGAGTCTCAGCAAGTCACACTTCACACTTCACCTCTCTAATGGGGTTCAGGCCTTCTCTGAATATGTTAAGAACACCCACAGAAGTATAAAGCAGGAGAGAAGTAGAGTGCAACCTTGCTTCCAATATGTATGTATGCATGTATGTATATATGCTCTCTGTACCTTTATTGGAGATAGTAGTGCATCAGTGCCACTTGCCTAACTTCTCACAGGCACTTTTGGAAGATCCAAACTAACACACAGGTTTCCTTAGGCCTTTCATTCAGAAGTACTAATGAGACAAAGTATATGTTGTAGAATTTTAAAATGCATTGTTCTGGGAAGTAAGGTATTGCCACCCATGGTATGATTTAATATAGTAATTTTAAAGAGAAAACTAAAACATTCAGTAAACAAAGACACCTGGTATGTATGTGTTTTTTCAATGAAGAAAACAATCATTTCGATTCAGTTGCAAATAATATGATTGATCATTGAAAAGTCCAAAGTATCAAGCTATCTGCTGTAATACTTAAGGGTTATTCACAAAATAGGCTATGTGGCTCTCACTAACCTGCTATACAGTGAACAGTTTTAAGTAGCGTGGTTGTCGTTTATCAGCCTTATCAAATAAAAAGCCTAAAAAGTATAGCACAGGCCCTCATAGCATCACCAGTACAGCAGAATTTAAAATTATTAATTTCTTGATGACATAACAATATGCTTAAGAAAGCAGGGGAAGCATTTTTTAAAAATCAATACTAGTCGCCGGGCGCCAGTGGCTCACGCCTGTAATCCTAGCTACTCAGGAGGCTGAGATCTGAGAATCGCGGTTCAAAGCCAGCCCGGGCAGGAAAGAGGGCAGGAAAGACCGTGAGACTCCTATCTCCAATAAACCACTTAGAAAACCGGAAGTGGGCTGTAGCTCAAGTAGTAGAGCGCCCACCTTGAGCTGAAGAGCTGAGGGACAGCGCCCAGGCCCAGAGTTCAAGCCCCATGACCGACAAAAAAAAAAAAAAATCAATACTAGTGGGCTAGGAAGGTGGCTCAGTGGTAGAGCGCTTGCCTTGCATGCCTGAAGCCCTGGGTTTGATTCCTCAGCACCACATAAGCAAAAAGATAAAAGCCGGAAATGGCGCTGTGGCTCAAGTGGTAGAGCGCTAGCCCTGAGCTGAAGAGCCGAGGGACAGCGCCCAGGCCCAGAGTTCAGGCCCCATGACCAGACCCCCCCCCCCCAAAAAAAAAAAATCAGTACTAGTTAAATGAAAGTCTTTTTGGGTTTTTTGAGATAGTGTCTCACTCTGAATCCCATGCTCATCTCAAACTTACTTTGTAGCCCCTGAGTAGCCTTCAATTTACAATGCTCCTGTCTGAGTCTCCCCTCCAGAGTTCTGGGATTACAAGTGTGTATCACCATGCCCAGTTTGAAATATAAGTTCTTATTGACAGTGCAAATGTCAGTATAACACACCTTATTTTGTGATATGTATACATTATAATGACTATAATTTTTTTTTACTATTGCATGCTAAAAGCCTAGCTTACTTGAGTAATTTGGAGGGATTATAAATAGAGGAAGTGTACTATATATAAGACATTATTCTTTTAAAACTGGGGGAAAAAATAAAAATAAAACTGGAGGAAATAGCATTAATTATCTTTTACCATCTACTCTTACAAGCCAGGACCATTAGTTTTTTTCCCTAGGTCTTCTCAGTAGCATCTTGCAATTGGGAAGAGACAATTGGGGAAGAGAAGTAAAAGTTGCTAAACTCTAAGACCCCAAATAACTTGGGATCAGTGTTTAGTAAATCATCAATATAAGTGTAATCACTGCCTATATTCATAACATAAAATGTTTTTTCTCCACTCTAAAAAGTAACCTACATTTTATTTTGGTTTGATTTTTGTTGTTGTTTTGTTTCTTTCTTGAGACAGAGTCTTAACTGTATAGCCCAGGCTGGGTTACCCTCAAACTCACCATGCTTCTGCCTCAGCCTTAGGGCTGGGCTTATAGGCACAAGCCAACCTTTTACTTTTCATAGTTTTATGGTGTTAAGATTGCGGCCAGAACACAGAAGGCAATGCTCACTTAGAGAACTGCAGTTTTGCCAGTCACATTGTCTCAAGCATAATCCTGTCTACTCAAGAGGCAAAGATCAGTATATCATGGCCCAAGACCAGCCCTAGCATAAAACTTCCTGAGATTGTGTCTTACACAATGTCACAGACACTGTGCATCTGTTATCCCAGCTAGTGGGGGAACATAATGTCTGGACACAGGGGCACACACCTGTCATCCCCAGCAACACAAGGAGTATAAGAGGGTCACAGCCTAGGCCAGTCCAAGCATAAAGCAAGACCCTACCTTGAAAATAACTGAGGAGCAGGAAGTGTGGCTCAAGTGGTAGAGTGCATACCTACCAAGCTTGAGGCCTTGAGTTCAATCTCCAGCACTTGGGGGGTAAGGGGTGGGGGAAGGGTCCCTACAGTTTCAAAAGAAAAAAAATGCTTCCCCAAATTCAGAGTTATTGTCAAAGTAAAGAATAATTAATTGAGGGGCTGGGAAGGTGGCTTAGTGATAGAATGCTTGCCTTGCATGCATGAGGCCCTGGGTTCGATTCCTCAGCACCACATAAGCAAAAAGTAAAAAAAGCTGGAAGTGGCGCTGTGGCTGAGGGACAGCGCCCAGGCCCAGGGTTCAGGCCCCACAACAGGACCCAAAAAAAAAAAAAAAAAAAAAAGAATAATTAATTGAATTTTCACTGTGGGAAAAAATGCTTAATCTGCTATTCTGACTTTAGGAAACCTAAAGGAGAGCATATGCTATTCCATCACAGTGACTCCGGTGTATCAGAACGGACCAGGAAGCCCTGAGTCTACCAAGGCATACCTTAAACAAGCTGGTAAGTCTACACTCACTGTCCACAGTAACTTCATTTATGTAGTAAAGACATCCTATCACTTTGCAATAAGGATATGAAAGCAATTTTCTCAGAAGGAAGCTTTACTAAATTCTGGTTATTTTCTAAATAATGCATTCATTCTGTTCCAGCACCTTCTAAAGGACCTACTGTTCGGACAAAGAAAGTGGGGAAAAACGAGGCTGTGTTAGAGTGGGATCGGCTTCCTGTTGATGTTCAGAATGGATTTATTAGAAATTACACTATATTTTATAGAAGCAGCGCTGGGAATGCAACAGGTAATAAAACTACTAGTAATTAAGAATCTGATTTTTCCTAATTTCTCTCTCATTATTTTATAATCTTGTATATGGTATTCCAGTAGACATAGATATGTGCTATGGGTATGTTCATGCCCCTATTTAAAAAATACTCTATTGTGCTCACAGAACGATATATTTGAGTTACCAAGGTTATTTTCTGAAAAAATGTTTTTATTCCTTACTAATATTTTCATAATTTCAAATAGAGGAGAGCTGAAGCAAAAATCATTGAATACTGGATTCTAAAGCACAGTTGGGTTTTTCTTCTTCCAGTGGTGAATGTGGATTCCTCCCACACAGAATACACACTGTCCTCTCTGACGAGTGACACTCTATACATGGTCCGAATGGCAGCATACACAGATGAAGGTGGCAAGGACGGCCCAGAATTCACTTTCACCACACCCAAGTTTGGTAAGAAATAATAAACTTTGATCTTTTTTTTGTTCTGTATTTTCCAGAACTCTATTCTTGACCCAGTTTCCTAATGTACCCATTCAGGTTCTCTGCCTGTGACTGTAGCCATTCTTTTTTTTTTTTTTTTTGGTTGGTCGTGGGGGCTGAACTCTGGGCCTGGGCACTCCCCCTCAGCTCTTCAGCTCAAGGCTAGCACTCTACCACTTGAGCCACAGCGCCACTTCCGGTTTTCTGATGGTTTATTAGAGATAAGAGTCTCTCGGACTTTCCTGCTTGGGCTGGCTTTGAACTGTGATCCTCAGATCTACAGGCGTGAGCCACCTGCGCCCGGCTGTAGGCACTCTCTCTTTCTTTTTTTAGATACAGTTCTCCTTCCTTTGTGCCATGCCACAACCATGTCCAAATCCAGGACATTTTTCTCTCACATAGACCCACGTTATCAAGTCCTGTCACATCTGCCCTTTCATATCTGCTCTTCATTATTCTCTGTATCTTTTTCAAGTGCATTGCCTTAGTACTACTTATCTCTTTAACATTCCTATAGCTCCATTCTGTCTTTTTCCCACCACACTATGAGTCCCTGAAGAAATTCTCTTTATTAAAAACATATTTGTAATTTTCACCCCAAATGCCAGTAAGGAAAAACAAAAAAAATTGAGGTAGGGTACTTCCATCTTTTCAACAGTAATCTGGGTAGGAAGTTACATCATTTCTCCTTTAGTATGTATCAAAGATTATTTCTCACCTTTTCTTTTTTTAGCTCAAGGAGAAATAGAAGCCATAGTTGTGCCTGTCTGCTTAGCATTCCTATTGACAACTCTTCTGGGAGTATTGTTCTGCTTTAATAAGCGAGACCTGTAAGTACTGTTATTCATATTTTTGCATTTTTCCCACCTTTATTAAGCTATAATTTGCATACACTAAGGCTTATCTATTTTAAATTTATAACTGGATGAATGTTTATACTTGTATACAGCTACATAACTATGATCATAACAAGATATGGAATATTTTCATCACCCTGAAATGTTTCCTCCTTGCTTTGTAATCTGGCTCACCCTTAACCTCTGACCTTAGTGAATCACTAATCTGCTTTCTGTAACTACTTCTGCCTTATCTAGAAATTCATGTATGTGGAATTCATGTATGAATAACGTATGGTATCTTTCATTTAATGCATATACACACACACGCACACACACACACACACACACACACACACACACACACACACATTCCCCCTTTGGCAGTACTGCAGATTGAATTCAAGGCCTTCTGCTTGCTAGGCAGGTGCTCTTGTCACGTGAGCAAACCTCCAGCTCCTTTCTGCATTGGTTACTTTTAAGGTAGGGTCTCATTTTTTTGCCCAGGGCAGCCTGGGCTATAATACTCCAACTTGTGCTTCCCTACATCACTGGAATGATGTTTGTGTGCCACTATGCCCAGCAATTGTACTTTTCCTATAGTTGCAATAACAGGTGCACACCACTTTGCCCAGCCTTTGAATGAGATGAAGTCTCCTCAATTTTTTCGCTGGGCTGATCTAAAAGTTTGACCCCCTATTTCTACTTTCTAAGTAGTAGCTAAAAAGTCAAGCTTGAGCCACTTCATTCAGCTTAACATTTTTGAGATTCGTTATGTTGCTGAAATACACTTTCACCTTTAAATTGCTGAATTTTACTCTATAGTATGGATATGTCAAAATTTATCCCATCTGTTATGGAAGTTTAAGAGTTGTTTTTTTTTTTCCTTATTTTTAGTTATTATGTAGGATGTTGCCGTTAACATTTGCATAACAAACTTTGTATGGGCATATGTTTTCATTTATCCTGAACAAATGACTAGAGTTAAGACTACTAGATTTGGGGCTGGGAAGGTGGCTCAATGGTAGAGCGCTTGCCTTGCATGCATGAGGCCCTGGGTTTGATTCCTCAGCACCATATATGCAAAAAAGAAAAAAGCCAGAAGTGGCGCTGTGGGCTCAAATAGTAGAGTGCTAGTAGCCTTGAGCTGAAGAGCTGAGGGACAGCGCCCAGGCCCAGAGTTCAGGCCCCACGACCGAACCCAAAAAAAAAAAAAAAGAGTACTAGATTTTATACTCAACAAGCTACCAGGACTGAAAATGTAGTTCCGTGATAGAACATTTGCATAGTATGAACAAGGTCTTGGATTTAATAACCAGCACCCACCAGAAAATAAAAATTAAAAAGAATGAAAGAAAGAAAAAGAAATTGCCAAACTTGTTCCGAGTGGCTATGCCATCTTGGCTAGCAGGCTTCCATATCCTCCCCAACACATGGTGTACTGTCAGGTTTCATTTTAGTGACACTTTCAAGTGGGTATGTAGTGATGTCTCCTTGTGGTTTTCAATTCATTTCCCTGATGATTCTTATGGATCTTTTCACATGCCACCTGTCTTTTCGTGATGAGTCTATTGAAATCTTTTGCCCAATTTCAAATTGGGTTGTTTTAGTAAGATCACACTGTAATAGTCCTTTATTATTCTTGTTATAAATTTTTTCAAATGTATGTTTTCTAAATTTTTGTCCTAGTTTGTGCATTGCAATTCTATTTTCCTAACTGTGACTTTAGAAAAGAGAAGTTTTATTTTTGTGTACTTTTTTTTTTTAGCAAGAATTTATTTTTAGTAAAACAAAGTTAAATGGGGAGAGAAAAAACATATCCTGCTCCTCCTGGAGTTAAAGACTCCAAGTTTTAAAAAAAATTTCAAAGTCCATTTTGTCTTTTTCCTCTGGTTCCTACATTTTATATTCTCTTTAAGAAATCTGCCTAATCCCGTGTCACAAATATTTCCTGCTGTGTTTTCTTCTAGAAGAAGTTCAATAGTTATAACTCACACCTGTGATCCATTCTGAGTTCATTTTTGTTCATTATGTGAGGGCAGAGTGAAGGTTCACTTTTTTCCTCACAGATACCTAATTGTAACATTATTATGCAAAAAAAAAGACTAGTATTAGTCCTGGCAGATTGTTTTGGCACCTTTCCAAAAACCAGTTTCCCATAGAAGTCTGGGGCTATTTCTGACTTCTCAGTTCTGCCCTACTGAACCATGTGTCTCTTCTTGGGCCAGCACCACTCTCTTTCTTCCTTAGAAAAAACAAATTATCATACTTTATTTGGTACCAGTATGACATTTTTATTGGATTTGTTATCTGGATACTTTTAGAAATGAAAGATAATTTGTTTTTTGTTACTGTTTTGGGAGGGATATGCTTCAGCCTGTTGTACCTGATGAAGTTCTTAATTGATTTTTATTACAGGTTTTGATTAAGAGATTTTATAGTTGAATAGCAATAGCTTTAGCCCTGTTAGCCATTTTTCATTATGAATACATTATGATCCATATGTACTTTTAGCAGTATTTTTAAAAATATTTTACAAGAAAAATAATTTGGTTCTGGAGTAGTATAGATTTTTTTTGTTGGTTTGGTTCCTAAGACTACTTATTGTTCAATGTGTTTTTTATGTATGTCATGTTTTATTTCTCTTTAGAATTAAAAAACACATCTGGCCCAATGTACCTGATCCTTCAAAGAGTCATATTGCCCAGTGGTCACCTCATGCACCGCCAAGGGTAAGATAAACCTATACAGACATGTTAGGATATATCTTCTTTATCCTAAACTTACTCAGACTCGATTAAATAGTACATGAAAATGCATAATACATGAATGGAACTCTTCTTAGGGGCTTATCATCATAATAGTATATTCTGATAATCCCATTGCATAAATATTACAAATATTTGAACTTGCAGACTGAAAACTTGAAATGCTGAAACTGCAACTTAATAGTAACTAAAGCATTTGTGGTTAGTTATTAAAATCTTGGTTGAACAGTGGTGAAATTGTTTCTGGACACCTAAATTCTTCAAACCTAAAATGTACTCCAGAGTGGGAATCATTTGTACATACTATCCTCTTGAATTTAATTATAACGAACTAAAAATGAGAACTCTTAAATTCTACAAAACTTCAGCTATGCAACTTTGACTTTTTCTTAATTTTTCTTAATGTCCTATTATCCATAGGCCACCTAATCTGGGCATGAAATATTAAATACTATTTTTAAACCACTAGCTTATCAAAAATGTAACTTCAGGGCTGGGAAGTTGGCTCAGTGGTAGAGTGCTTGCCTCGCATGCATGAGGCCCTGGGTTCAATTCCTCAACACCATATAAGCAGAAATAAAAGCTGGAAGTAGCGCTGTGGCTCCAGTGGTAGAGTGCTAGCCTTGAGCTGAAGAGCTGAGAGACAGCGCCCAGGCCCAGAGTTCAGCCCCCCGACCGACCAAAAAAAAAAAAAGTAACTTCAAAAATATTGATTTGAGGGGCTGGGAAGGGGGCTCAGTGGTAGAGCGCTTGCCTTGCATGCTCAAGGCCCTGGGTTCGATTCCTCAGCACCACATAAGAAAAAAAGAAAAAAGCCGGAAGTGGCGCTGTGGCTCAAGTGGTAGAATGCTAGCCTTGAGCTGAAGAGCTGAGGGACAGCGCCCAGGCCCAGAGTTCAGGCCCCACGACCAGAACAACAACAACAAAAAATATTGATTTGAAACTCTAAAGAGAAAATAGAAACAAATCCAGACTTTTGAGCTTGTTTTACATTATTTGCAATTCAGCCAATTTATGATACTGATTATTTCTATACCACTAAAAACCACTAAGAAGCTTTAGAGCTACATTCACCCTAAGAGTTTTTAAACAAACATATTTTGTAAGTATTAATTTATTTTCTCTATTTTGTAGCACAACTTCAGTTCAAAAGATCAAATGTATTCTGATGGCAATTTCACTGATGTAAGTGTTGTAGAAATAGAAGCAAATGACAAAAAGCCTTTCCCAGAGGATCTGAAATCTTTGGACCTGTTCAAGAAGGAAAAAAACAGTACGGAAGGCCACAGCAGTGGTATTGGCGGATCTTCATGCATGTCATCTTCTAGACCAAGCATTTCTAGCAATGATGAAAATGAGTCTTCACAGAACACAGCCAGCACTGTCCAATATTCTACCGTGGTGCACAGTGGCTACAGACACCAGGTTCCATCAGTCCAAGTCTTCTCAAGATCTGAGTCCACCCAGCCCCTGTTAGATTCAGAAGAACGGCCAGAAGATCTACAGTTGGTAGATAGCTTAGACAGCGGAGATGGCATTTTGCCCAGGCAACAGTATTTCAAACAGAACTGCAGTCAGCCTGAAACCAGTCCAGACATTTCACATTTTGAAAGGTCAAAGCAGGTTTCTTCAGGCGGTGAGGAAGATTTTGTTAGACTTAAACAGCAGCAGATTTCAGATCATATTTCACAGTCCTGTGGATCCGGGCAAATGAAAATGTTTCCAGAAGTTTCTGCAGTAGATGCTTTTAGCCCTGGGACTGAGGGACAAGTGGAGAGATTCGAGCCAGTTGGAATGGAAGCTGTGATAGATGAAGAAATATCTAAAAGTTACTTACCACAGACCGTAAGACAAGGTGGCTATATGCCCCAGTGAAAGTCTAGTAAAGCTAAAATATTTCAGATACAAAAAAATCTTCACTCCCTGAAGATGATCAGTTGCCTTCAAAGACACGCTCTCCCCTGGGCCATTGTCATTCCAGAATGTCTGAGATTCTACTTTAAGCACTACAGAAACTAACTTTTTCCTCTGGATAGCTGAATGACTTTGTGCTGTCTCAGGATGCTTGCACTGAAAAGAAACAGAAAGCATGTCCGGAAGTTGGCGAAGTAGAGCCTCGCTTTGCTACACAGAAAACAGGGTATTTAAACAACGAGCAGCGGGCACAGCTCTGATGGTTTGAAGGGAAAAGCCATCACAATAAATGGCTTAGGGATGAGCAATAGAAGAAAAAGGTGCAGTACAGAACTCTGCTTCAGCTGACTTCCTTCATGGAAGAAGAGACCACAGGGCATGAAAAGCTCTGCCCAGCTTTGGAGAGCTAATGAGAAATGGTGGAGAGGTTCATTTATTGGTCTACCATCATTCAAATTATGCCTTACTTTTTTTCTGTGGGTATCAGTTGTTACTAGAGCAAAGGAGTTATAGAGCTTAAACTTTGAAAAAACAACATGTTTTAAATATTACATAATCAAACTCGCAATTCAACTTGTTTAAATTTGCTTTTTATTCTCAATAGGCTCTTTGCAGATCCATTTTACAAACCCAGCAGTTGCCCTGGCAGGAGCTAGGAACACACGCATCAGCTATCTCAAACAGTTCCACAATAATTGTCTATTTTTAAAGGTTCACTTGGTATTTTTCTATATATAAATATCTACATGCATATATACATATATATACACATAACATGTACATATATAACTGACACATACATCCATGCATATATCATTGACCCTTGTTAAGACTTTAGGGAATTTGGTTGACAGACTACTTTATACACGTCATCAGCTTAAAATGTATTAGAATTGAACATACCTTATTTTGATAAGTATGCCAAGGTTTAAATTTTTCTAAGGTATTTGAAGCAAACCAATAGGGCAGTATCCATCACAACTAAAACAGAATCCCAGGGTTGTACATACTGATCTCAGTAGATCTCACAGCCAGTATCTTCACTGTAGACATCTAATAAAGAGATAGGGTTTGGGTTTTTCTTTGTTTGTATGATATTGGTTTTCTTTTGTGTTGTTTTTTTTTTTTTTGCAGAGGTGGGGGGAGGGTAATTTTGTTTTGTTCTGTTTTATTGGCTGTACAAGGGGTTAAATCCAGGGCCTTGCACATGCTAGTCAAGTGTTCTACTATTGAGAAACCCCCATTCCTGGCTTTGTTTTTGAGCCAAGTTCTTGCTGTGTGGCCCAGATTGTCCCCAGCCTGGGCTCAAGCAGTCCTTGTTCCCCAGTCCTGAGTAGCTGGGACTACAGCTGTGTGCTACCACATGTGAGAAGAAATATACTCCGCTATCTCTTTATTCTATCCCATGCTGCAGCAGGATGAAATTTCACTCTACATTGTGCTTTAGAAATATTTTAAACCTCTTCTTTCCAGTTCTGTTCCTTAGGAGAAAAGTGAGCCAGGCTTTCAGGGTTTAGCAGTAAAGCCACGAAGCATTTATGCCATTCCCTAACTACATGAAGGCAAAAGCTAATGCTAGGGCCTAGAAAAAGAAAAAACAATGAGAAGAAATGGTCATGTTTCATTAGTGCCTGACTTCCACCACCCAGTGCATTCAGGGGGAACAGGTGTGTCTTTCCGTTAAGCTTAGTGTCAGAAAATTGACACAGTTAAAAGAGTTTGTTAAAGGTTATTGAAAAAGAAACAGCGAAGAAAAATCAGTATACCTTTACAGTTGAAATATACTTCTGTGTTTTACTCAAAATAGTTTTCATGTTAGACTTCCAAATATATTTTATCATTCTTATTGTTTTGTTATATCATACCTAATAGCTTATCTTCATTTCTTCACATATATGTTTGTGAGATATAGGAGATACTTTGTTGTAATAGTAGCCAAACCAACCTGAGATTGGTAAGAATAAGAAAAATAAGGCCCAGAGAGGTCAGGTAAGGACCTAGAGACTCAAACTCACACTACAAAGTTAGGGTATCGCCACCGTTCAAAGTTGGTCATCAAAAACTGGGCCAGATCAAGGCTGAGTGTGTCTGTCTATGTATATATCTGTCCAGAAGTTTGCACCTATAACTATTTCAATTTCCTCACAAGTAATCGTATTGCTATAATCTTATTTAGCTGTGACCTTCCTCATAACCAGTAGTGTAAAGAACATTATCGTATGAGGTTTGTACATTTCGGGGCTGAAGAGACAGGTATAAACTGTGTACTTTTGATCCAAGGGACTAAGAATGAGGAGTCATTGAAGTGAAGACCTCATGGAAGCAGATTTGCATGTTGAGCTCCATCCGGAACATTCACAGAGAATGAATGCCTTGCCCACCCAGCACTTTATACATATAAGAAGATTAAATTGTTACTGTGCAAAAATTCATTCAGGAAATAAGTATGTATTTGAGCACTAATATTGAAGGTGCATCTTTTCCCTAAAGAGAAAATCATAAAGCTTGTCTTAAATAAAAATTACTTTCCTAAAGCATGTTTTAGAATAATCTGTGTTTTGATGCATGTGCATTGTACTTTAATAGAGCAATAAATCTGGTTTATGTAAAAACTAGTCTAATGAAAGTGCATTTAATATTCTTTAAGTCTTCAGTGTGCACACATGTGATTGAAAGTCCTGCCTAGTCAAAAAAGCAGTCTTGTGGTGGATAAAATTAATTCACTGCCTCTAATGTAGTTGTGCCCTTTAGGAGGGAAAGAGATTCACTACCACGCACGTTGTCCTATGTAATTGGACTGTCAGCTACTGGTGCCTTTAGTTTTCTATCTTTATTTCTAATAAATACATAATGCTGAATAGACAAATATAGAATGCTGTAGGACTTTGGGGTTTTCTACAATTTTAGTCCTTTTTTAGCATGAATATGTCAGTACTCAGAAGCCTCTTGAGCATTGTATAGGAGCAAGAAGGAGAGGCAGCCTTACGTATACCTTCAGGTCTATTCTCTACCGGTTCATTTCGGCCTTATGCCTTGATAAAGGGATCTGCCGCACTGAGTCCTTGTGAAATTCAAGCTTAAGGAAATTGACATTTATTGAAGCTCATTAATGTAGAATAGCTAAAGTACTTTTTGAAACACGAATCAGACAAATAGAACTTTTTAAAATGTCTTTTCTTTTCCATATAACGAAGTAGTTAAAACCATGATGCAAATGAGATGAGCCAGGTTGGTTCCCCCTTGAACACTACTAGCCTTGTCTTACAAATGTAGGTTGCAAAATGCCAGATGTGATGTGTCAGAAACAAAGGGATATTGTAAAGCTGGATATTTGAAAATGTATTAAGTAATGTGCCATTTGCTAGGGTGACAGTTGCGGTGACTATAGCATTATGTGTGTCCCTTTTAGGTCCTAACTATTCCTCACTTGTACAATCCTTTCACCTTCACTTCCTGTTTTACTTCCTCTAACTTTTTTTAGAAGAGGTACAGTGTTGTATGTAGTATTACCTTGAGTGATTGCATGTGCTGATCATTGCTACAGCTATTTTTTATGTTGATATAACTAAATGTTATTAAATGTTTTACTACATAACCAGCTGTATTCCTTTAAGTAGATCTAAAAAATAAATTCTTGTTCTTTACTTCAGTGTGTGGTCACCACCTTTTGTCATTATGTATAATGTTTGAGGGAATAGTATTTATCAGGATTGGTGATGGCTAATAAACTAGATGTTTTCTTCATGTAAACTAGATATTTTCTGCAGCTTTTAAGATGCTTGTTTGACATGAGAGAGGATTTAGAAGAAAATCAATATGCTTTGTTGGCCTTAACAGAAATGGTATTTAAAAGGGTCATTTACCAGTTTTCTAGATTTACCCAGTGAGTTCTGGAATCTCAACTTCTTACCTCTCAGTTTTTTCCATGTTGCTGAGGCCCAAAAACAAAAGTATAGCGCCATCTTATGGCTCATTTGTGCCCTTGCTGCCTAAATCTCACTGTTAAACAAGAGGCAGTTCATACAAAGTCCTACTGCCTCTGGAGTCTGCAAGAGACCAATGCAGTCAAGAATACCAGGAAAAAGAAAAAAAATGTAACTATTTGATTTTCATACCTTCACAGTATTATTTCTACTAAAATGCACAGTCATCCACAAACCAGCCTACATCCCTTCAAATCCACATTATTATATAAAAATAAAGTATATGGGCTCTAGAGTTCATGTTTAAAATTATAAATACTGGCTGTGACTTTTAGCTGTCCATCCCAAGTTCTTTAGTGTATAAGCACCTCTTGTCCAATCCTAGACTATATGGTGGACATAGTCCTTACTTCCAAAGGATTACATGGTCCAGATAAAGAAGTAACTATCTCAGGTTTGCTTAACTTTATAGTTCAACTTTTTTTTCTTTCTGAAAGACATTCTTTCCATACTTTGAAAACACAAGACTTACCCATCCCAAAGTATATATATGTATGCTCTCCCATATATGGTTTTAAGTTCAATGTCTTGCCTACTTCATTGAGTGAGAGAAAGAAGAGTTAAGGCAGAGAAGAAAGTTTGATAAAGCAGGTAGAAGCTCACACAATAGAGTCTTGATCAGTAGTGGAGTAATCTTTGGTTGTTTACGTTGGCTTTTGTTCACTCAGCAATAAAATGTTTAAGGTGACTTAAAATGTTTCATCTCCATTGAAGAAAATCTACTTTTATTCATTTTCAAAATTACAGCTATGTTCTCTAAACTTGCAAAGGTTGATTGTGTTGTTTTGTTCAATATTTGAGACAGAGTTTGGTTATGTAGTGCAAACTGGCCTTAAAACCCTCCTGCCTCTGTTTCCTCACTGCTGGAATTACAGGCATGTACCACCACACTCAACTTGTTTTAATTTTTTGTTGCTTTCTTGCTTTCTAGTGCTGGGGATACAACCCAGGGCCTCCATGCTTAATAAATACTGCGCTATATTTCTAGCTAAATAAGGTTTTTCAAAACTGAGAAAGCAGCATAATTTTAGAACTCTGTAGACACACAACTGATTCTTTTTTTATTGTGAAAATACTGTACAGAGGGGTTACAATTACATGAGCAAGGTAATCAGTACATTTCTTTTCAAGCATTGTTGCCTCCTCCTTTGTTTCCCCTTACCATCCCTTCCCATCTCTCCCCCCTGCCCTACCCCCATCCTCGCGTCAAAGTTGTAAAGTTCGTTTTTCCATGTAACGTTTTGTACATCTCATTGTTGCAGTGGGTCCACCTGTATCCCTATTTAAACAATTACACAACTGATTCTTTTACGTGTATCTTTTGTGAGCAACTATGTTATTTACATATGAAGAAAGTAGAATGAGAATGACTATCATTCTTGAACTTTAATAAGAACTGCCACCACCCTTTGCAATAGCTTTTAATTTATCAATGTGAGCATGTATATGAAACTGAAATATCTTCTTAGGATAACATGATGCTATATATAGTGGGAATTTCCCCCACAAAAAAAAATCAAAAGCAAAACACCTCTCTCATGCTTTACCTCATCAGCCCTGACTGTGGACTGTCCTTTCACACAACGTGAATGCATGCAAGTATGGTGGGCATGCACCTGTTATCCCAGTATGCAGTACACTGGGAGACTGTGTCAGGAAAAAAAAAAGGAGGGAAGGAGGGAGGGAAGGAAGAAGGGAGGGAGGGAGGGAAGGAAGGAAGGAAGGAAGGAAGGGAGAAAGGAAGGAAGGAAGGAAGGAAGGGAGGGAGGGAAGGAGGAAGGAAGGAAGGGAGGGAGGGAGGAAGGAAGGAAGGGAGGGAGGGAGGGAGGGAGGAAGGAAGGAAGGACCAAGCAACCAAAAGTGGCTTGTTCCCCTAGCATGTTTGTGCAAGCGCTAGACCCACATCGTAAGTCTCAAGCCCAGACCCCTTGTGCTAGGTAGCTCATGTCTCATTCGCTGTCCTAACACAGCTAGTAAGTGCACATCTGTCCCTTTCTCTGGGAAAAGTTGTTTCCTGCACTTTCTGGCTACACAGCCAGGTAAAACCTGTTGATTAGTGTTAGCTTCTAAATGAATTAATAGAATTTTCCCTGGAATTAATTCTGTAAACCTAAGGAATACTTGCATCAAAGGTCCTCGAAAACACTAAAACTTCTAAGGGTAAGAAACAGTTCTGCACAAAGGCAGAATCAAAGGCAGCTACCCTTTCCTTTAGGCCAAAATTGATACAATTTTTGCCAAATGTGCAATATTACAAACACCAGCCAACATCAGAGCCTGGGAGAAGACCTCTGAGCACGTGCAAACATCTGTTGTAATGCTGGGTGAAGGGCTGCTCCTTCTCAAGGGCTGCCATTTCTCATGAGTGATGGGGTGGCAGACACATGCTGGTGGAGGCAAGTTTCTAAAGGGAGCAAATGCCATCTAAGGAGTGTGGACTTGACCATGAAATTCTTGGAAACACTTGTGAGCTAACTGTCCACACATGTAATGAACAGTTCTGAGAGGCTGAAGAACTTGCTTTAATGCCATTGTGAAGTCCACAGTGTTTGGTGTGCACCAAGCAGAACTCCTTTTAACAACAAAAAGAAAAGAAAAATGAAAACAAGAAAAAGCAAAGCCTTGCCGGGTAGCTAGTGGAGAATCTCTCTGCTCCCGGTCTTTTCTTTGAGTTCTCCCTCCTCTGCCACCCTGCACTGCAGAGAACTCTGCTTCCCCTCTCCTCTCCCACAGCCCCCACCCTGCGTACAACCCACCTTTTCAAAGTGGCCTAGCCAGGCCTGAAAAGGCAGGGATGGATTGAGATCAGGATCTGGACTTTTCTTTCCCCTCTGGCCCTCGGGGATCACTCTGAACCTACCCAGGCCATCTCTCTGAGTCCTTGTAGCTATACAAGAAAAGAGGGGTAAACCTGTTCCTCATTCCCAAGGGAAATGCACTTTCAAGGGACTCTAGTCTTCGTATGTTAGCCAAAGAGATGATCCTCTGTTGCTTCAATCTGGTTACACAAGGTGACAAGCATCTGGAGACAGAAGTTTTCCTGGGGAGTCTGACCATCTTTCCCTTGTCCCACTTGGTTCCGTTCAGACCACCACAGGCTTGGGGACCCTGAGGCAGCCTCTCTTGCTAGTGGCTGTCAAGCATCTCCACTGGGGGCAGCACTGGCAGCTGCAAGTGTAGCTCTCTGCCCACCTCCTGGCCTTTCTTTCTGCTTGGGGCCTGCTGTGCCTCTGGACACACACACACACACACACCACAGAGCTCCTTATCTCATCTCCCTCCAGGCATATGCAGAGATATTATTGTTTTCTCTGTTTTCAGATAAAGAAACTGAGGCTTAGGAACTTGTTCCCGGTCACAGTGATTCAGTAGCAAAGCAGGGATCCATAACCTAGCCCCTCTGTTCCAAATGACGAGGCCCGGCCTAAATAGCTAGGGCAATGGCAAGAGTCAGCTGCTGAGAGTGAAGTGAGACAGGCTTTGAAAAATACATAGGGATGTTCCTGGGATGTGTGAGCTACATACAGCATTGCATTCTTGGTTGCTAAGCGTGGAAGCTCTACAGGGGCCACCCCACACCCCTGAGCATCTCCACTCAGCTTCCTTGGGTTATTGTAGCCCCTGGCCTCTCAGTGGAGTCAAAAGTGCCTGGAGGCTGCATACCTCTTCAGATCACCCTTAGCAATGGCCGAATAGTGTAAGAATGTGGAAGCTCAAGCCTCAGCTAGGCACATACTGAAGATGTGGAGGGAGTCATTCACCTTCACAGCAGTGTCAGGAACCCCACCTTCCTCTTGAGGTACCAGCAAGAGTCTCAATCCCGCACCAGTTCCACCCGAGGACCCTCCCTTAGGAAGTAAGTTACTTGGATTTCTCTCCCGATTTATTTCTAAGGAACTCAACCCAAGACACTCACCCCTACCTCCACTTCTGCACAAATGCAGCCTTCAGCTTTGTGGCAGGATGCTCATGGTCCTACATCTATGGTGACAGCCAGAAGGTGTACATGGGACAGGCCCAGGTGACGGCTAGGGGAAGAATCAAAGCCACAGGCTCTCTCCCTAGATGCTACTCATTGGGATTACTAATTTGTGAATCACCAGCTCCCACTGAAAATAAGAGCCAGGGAAAACTGGTTCTGACAGTCATCTTCCTGCCTTGCCCTGCCCAAACACAAGCTAGACCCTCGACCTGAATTCCCTCCTCTCAGCCAGCAGCATTGCCCCTTGGCTCCAAGTCCTATTTGAAATGACTTGGGTTGCATAGCAGTTTCCACTTAGATTCCATCACAGCACAGCCAGAGATTTTGTGCACCAGCCCAAGAGAGGTTGACTAGGGACCAGCAAAAATCAACTTGACCTGATGGAAGGCATGAGAAGAAAATCATAAGGTTGAAATTAAAATTTACTAGGCGGCTATAAAAACCTGACAGAATCATTGCCACTCCTTAAAAAATGTGTAAGAATGTGATTACATTTGTAAGTAATTTGCACAGTTGGTGAAAACATACAGATGATATTTTTTAATTCTCAAGACACCCTAGAAATGCAGAAGAATTGCTGCAAGATTGCTGAGAAATCATGCAACAGAGTTGTCAAATAATGCAAGAACAGCCCATAAAACCTTTCCAAAATGTTTACAGCCAACAAACAGTTCTTGGGAATTG